TTTATTATAAATAATATATTTGTAATTATACTTTATATATTACAAGATTTTGTTTTAAATATCAGACATGTCACATAATGTAATCAAACATATTTTTCTTTCATGATTGACATTTTATTTTCATTGAAGTTCTATTTTGGAATAAAGACATAGAACTTTTTTTTACATTTTTTATGTTTTACTCCTATTTTAGTCTTTTTCTCTAAACTATTTTGACTTACAATTTTTTATATAAAAATTAGAAAAATGAGCAAATTTTAAGTAATAAAGGGAAAGGTGAGAGGTCTTATGTAAAGTTAGGGGCTGTTTGTTTCAGCCTCTTAATTGTTCAGATGTCTGAATGATTCAGCACTTAATGGTTCAGACTGTTTGTTTCAGCCTCTTAATGATTCAGATGTCTGAATGGTTAAGAGATTTGCCTCTGAATGGTTAAGTATTATACAGAGTCTGAATGGTTAAGAGCTGTTGTCTGAATTGATCAGACATTTGCCTCTGAATAGTTAAGCAATATACTAGCTCTTAATGGTTCAGACCTCTTACTGGTTCAGCACTTAATGATTCAGACCTCTTACTGGTTCAGCACTTACCCATTCAGAAGTTGCCAAACAGCCCCTTAGATTAATAAAACATTCAATGCCACTATTTTATCCATAATTTGTTTAATATAATTTAACATATTGATGTTTTCATGTTTTATCATGTAGACTAATATACAAAAAATTGTCTTATTGATATTAAAAAGTCGAAGAAAAAAATAATGAGTGTGAATCGTAAAAATAGTGAGATGAAAAAAAATAATTTATAAACTATAATTATGAACATAACAGTTGTAATAATAATAATAATCACATTAAAATATAGCGTTTTTAGAGTATTTGGTTCAAGAGTAGTTAGAGTTTGAAGAAAATGATAATAGTTGGAAGGGACTAGAAGAAAATATCTTTCAGATATATGTTATAATGGGTTCGCTTCAGATCGATTCGATTTAATTTTAGTTCAGATTTAATTCGGTTCCATACATTTTTTATTTCGATTCGATTCTGGATCAGTTCAGATTCAGTTCGCATGGTACAAAATGAGTTTAGGCACAAAATCAAAACCATATCGAATCATTTAAATAGTAACGGTATGGTACGAGCTATTTAAAAATATCGAACTGTCCCGGACACCCCTAGGAGACACCTCACCACGAGCGGAGACATTCCATATGCCCACCATGGAGATCCGTCACACGCTAAATAATAAACAGAGCGGGGGAAACACACATTCGTCATAAGGAGGAATCAAGCCAAAAGCTATAAGAGAAACACTAAACGACAGAGGGTTAGTTGATGCATTGTAAATGTATTTGTCTAATTTGACTCTTCTAGGTCAAACTAGAAGAACTTTAATCATCAATTATTCTCAAATTATATTGCATATTAGTACTCATTTCGTCCCAAAATGTTTCCACATTATGCAAAACGAAGCAAAATTTAATTTTTTTGAAACCCATTTTATTTTAATATTAGTATAGAAATAAAAAATTATATATTTAAGAACTACATAAAAAATTCTCAAAACATAAGGTGACAAGAATATATATTATTTTATCAAATAATTGATGAAAATGTACAAATAAGCAAAAGTTTTCATGATTTTTTAATAATGAATTGTAGCATTCTCTTTGGGATAAAGAAAGTAAAATCAAAATTTGAAAGTTAATAACATGAAAAATATAATAAAATTATTCTCATACTAATATACATTACTTTTATTTATTTATTTTTGTTTCATTTTACGAACTCCGAATCTAATAAAAACTAAACGGGTCAAGAAAGTTATCTTGATGTCTAAAGTTTGTTCATTTTGACTCCAAAAGGTCAAACTAGACGAATACATTGAAATGGATGCAGTATTCAATTTAGGATGCGTTCCGTTCAACTGATCTGATATGATATGATTTTTTGAACTTTTGATCTTATCTGGTCTGATCTAATTTAGTCGGATTGGATCTGATCGGATATAAATTTGATTTAAATTAAAATTAAATTTATAATCATAATAGTTATAATAATAGTAATAATAATAATAATAGAAACATTAATGATATTAAGAATAATAATAATAATAGAAATAATAATCATAATCATAATAGTAAACATAATAATGTTAATAAGAATAGTAATAATGATATTAATAATAACTAGAATGATAATAATACTAATAATGATAGTAATTATAGAAATAATAATAATAATAATAACATAGTAATAATATAAGAAAAATTAAAATAATAATAGAAAAAACAATAATAAAAGTAATAATGATAGTAATAATAGCATTAATAGTAATAATAATAGTAGTAATAATTATAACAACAACATTAGTAATAATTTTAGTCATAATAAATAAATTAATAGTAATAGTAATCATAATAATAGTAATAATAATAGTAATAATAATAATAGTAATAATAATAATAGTATTAATATTAATAGCAATAATAATAATATTGATAGCAATAATTATAATAACAATAGTAATAATAATAATAATAGTAATAGTAATACTAGTACTAATAATATTAATAATACAAATAATAGTAATAATAATAATAGTAATAATAATTGTAATAATAATAATAATTGAAATATTACTAATAATAGAAACAATAATAATAATAATAATAGTAAGAATAATAATAGTAATTGTAATAATAACAATAGTAATAATAATAATAATAATAACAATAGTAACAATTTGATATTATTAATATTAATGGAAATAGTAATAATAAAAATAATTATAATAGTAATAATAATTATAATCATGATAAAAAGAGTAATAGTAATAGTAATAATACTAATGATAATAATAATAATAGTAATAATAATAATTTTGTGTAGATCTGATTTGATTGGATCTGATCTGATCTAATTTGATTTGATCTGATTGCATTTGATCTGGGCTAATCTGATCCGATTTTAATAAAAATAAAAGTAGAAAAAACAAGTTGAACGGAACTTGCCTTATTTTTTAAATTTGTTTTATATGTGAAGATTCATGTGCACCAAAGTATTCTCGCCACGTGATACATTTTTCAAGATATTATATACATGGTCTAACTTAACACACTTTGTTTACCTTTTTTACTACTCATTTTATATAATAATATAGTATTATCACCTTTCGTTTAATCTTGTAGAACTTTGCATATAATTTTTATTATATAACATTATTTTTAAATTTTACATGCCTCCTAACACGTAAGGGAAGTAAATGAGGGAGTAAATGATATTCTCTCTATGACTACATGATATTAGTGGAAACCATCTGATTCGAACGTGACTCATATCATGTTTTTAAAATTTATACTTCAAATGTAAGATGTATGATGTTTTGCATACATCTCTACTAATATTAATTTTCGAGTAACTAACTACTTATTTTTTAGAATAACTGAATTTCAATAAAATGAGTATTTAATTACTCAAAAATAAGCATTCAAGTACTCAAAAATAGATATTCCATTACTCGAAAATGAATACTCTATTTAAATGTATGAGAAATAGGAACGATTGAAGTAAGTGATAGACTCTCTCTATGAATATATGATAGGTATTAGTGGAACCTAACTGATTCAAACCTGATTGAGAGCCTGGTTTTCATATTTATACTTTTTATTTCAACTATTCATTTTTTAAATTGCAGTATCTAAATTTTAGTTAAAATTATTACTACATTCAAAGTCGAACACATGACCTAATGAAGCCATAAATTCTCAACATATCGAGAGTCCGTTCTTTAGAGCTTAAAATTAAACTTCTAGTTTGAGAGAGTTAAGTCAAGCACTTTTTATCTGATATGATTAGAATAAATTTTGATCTAAATTGAATATAATTTATTTAAAGCTATTTCTAATAATGGTCACTTTGTTTTGTTGGAAAAATCATTTCATATTGGAGGACAAGTTAATATGGAGTACTAACAACAACAACAACTCATGTGAATCCCACAACAATAGGGTCTAGGGAGGGTGTGCGTACGCAGACCTTGCCCCTACTCGGAAGTTGGGAGGCTGTTTCCAAGAGACACCCGGCTCCACATGCACAAAAATATGGAAGGGAATACAATATAACACAGATAGAGCACCAAGTTCAAGCAATATCAAAGGATTCTAAACAAATACAACACACTACAAAACAACCTCTACAACACTGAGCTCCTATCCCGCTACTCTAATCCTAGTTTTTCAAAGGTTCCTATTTAAGGCCATATCCTCCGTCAGGTTAAGAAGTCCTAAATCCTGCTTAATCACCTCCTTCCAATTCTTCCTAGATCTACCCCTTCCCCTACTTCCCCCGATAACCGTAATCCTCTCGCATCTCCGTACAGGGGCGTCAGCATCCCGCCGTCTCACATGGCCAAACCATCTCAACCTCGTTTCCCGCAACTTATCTTCCACTGGTGCCATGCCTACCTGATGTCAGATAACTTCATTTGAAATCCTATCCAACCTTGTCTTCCCACATATCTATCGTAACATCCGTATCTTTGCCGCATACAGACGACGCACATGAGTCTTCTTAACCGCCCAACACTCTGCCCCATATAACATAGCAGTAGGTCTAGCTACGGATCAATAGAACTTACCTTTCATTCTGGCTGAAATCTTCGGATCACACAACACCCCTGAAGCTAACCACCATTTGACCCAAGCCACTCCAACACGATGTCCAACATCCCCATCTAACTCCCCATCCGCCTGGATTACCGAGCCAAGGTATCGAAACCTGTCTACCTTAGGTACTAGGTGAGAGTCAATCCCGACTTCCACCTCTGATTCTGTATCCCGGCCGCTGAAACGACATTCCATGTATTCAGTATTGTTCCTACTTATTCTGAAACCTTTAGTCTCGAGGGCAAGGCACCACAGTTCCAACTTATCGTTTAGCCCCTCACGTGTGTGGTCGATAAGCACAATATTATCTGCGAAAAGCATGCACTCTTTTTGAACACGGCAGACCCCTAGTTCTACCCCATGCCTACAAAAGGATTAAAAAAAAGCATCATAACGCGTAGTTTAGAGCCTCTATCTTGCGCGTGAAAATGTCCGGCTATGGCTACGGCGGTTATAATGGCGGTCCACCACCGGCCCAGCCGTACTCGTCAGCTCCACCACCAGCCCAACCGTATTCGTCAGCCCCACCATCCGCCCAGCCGTACTCTTCTTCAGCTCCACCGCCTGCCCAGCCGCCGTATTCATCATCTGCCTACAACGCCCCGCCGCCCTCTTCCGCGTCTCCCTATTGGGGCCCACCACCAGCTCAATCCCCTTACGGAGCCGCCCCATACACCGCCCCATCGGCTCCGTATGCGTCGGATCCCAGCAAACCTCCGAAGGAAAACAAACCTCAGCACTCCGCCCCTTACGGCGGCGGTTATCCTACTCCACCGCCATCGGCACCTTACGGAAATAGCCCCTTTGCCAATCTCGTCCCCTCCACCTTCCCTCCCGGGACAGATCCCAACGTAATTGCCTGTTTTCAGATCGCCGACCAGGATGGAAGCGGGTTAATCGACGACAAGGAGCTACAGAGGGCGCTCTCCTCCTATAACCAGAGCTTCAGCTTGAGGACAGTACATCTTCTAATGTATCTGTTCACCAACACCAGCGCTAGGAAAATAGGTAATTTTGTGCATAATTATCTTTGAAATTAATGTTTCGTTATATAAATGTTGAAGAAGACAAGAAATCATAAGCCATGAATTTCCAGGTTCTCTAAAACATCTTAAATATGATCTTAAATATGTTTTTTTTAATATAAACAGCTGGAATGCATAGATCCCAAACATTCTATAATTGATTTTTTGGGGGGTATCTTGGCTTAAAATGAGGCAATTCATGCATTCTAGTACTGAAACCATTAGAACTTTAGGAGTGGGAGTGCATTTGCACATTGCATTTGCTGCTAATGCTAAGAGTTTTGTGATAAAGAAATTGCTTGTGCCTTTAGTCCTTGGACCATTGACCCTATACATGTGTGGAAACTGAGAAGTTAGAATGTTAGCTAGTGTTTGTAAAGCTTTTTCATGTTAGTTAGTGGATGTATTGTTTACACTTTTGGTTTGCTGCTATGAATGGATTTCATGCTACCTTAATTTTGGTCTTTCTGATAACTAATACGGGCCGAATTAGCAATTATAATCACCGAAAGGGGAAAGAGATCCATAATCATGCACCAAAACAACAACAACAACAACAAACCTAGTAGAATCCCACAAAAGTAGGGTCTGGGGAGGTTGGGTATACACACACATTACCCCCACTCGAAAGTAGGGAGTCTCTTTCCAAGGGACCCTTGGCTCGAGCACCAAAAGTGAAAAACTTGACAATTATTTACCAAAAGTGAAAATGACCTTGTGGGCCAAAAGTGAAATATTTTCTTGATTAAATGGTGTTTTCATCTTTTTTTTCTTGGAACAGGTCCAAAGGAATTTACTGCAGTATTCTACAGTCTGCAAAACTGGAGGGTAAGTTGTTGAATACATCTTCTTGTGCTCCCCCTTTGTTTGCCTGATTACAACACGTTATTGTCATTGTAGGCAATTTTTGAGAGATTTGACAGGGACCGTAGTGGCAAAATTGATGCTACGGAGTTAAGGGAGTCCCTATTTAGCCTGGGATTTGCGGTATCACCTACAGTTTTAGACCTGCTTGTAACCAAATTTGACAAAACTGGTGGAAAGAATAAGGCCATTGAATATGATAACTTCATTGAGTATGTCTTTTATCCGTAGTTAACTCTTAATCATGTTTAAACTATCTTTCCCTATTCTCCTTAATAACTTTCCCTTTTTTTGGTGTTCTCCTGCTCCATCAAGGTGCTGTCTCACTGTAAAGGTAATTCATAATAATCCAAATTCCGAGTTCTGATTTTTTTAATTGGAGTTTTTAAACTCAGAGGTCGTGGGTTGTGCAGGGGCTGACTGAGAAATTCAAGGAAAAGGACACCGGGTACACCGGTTCAGCAACTTTCACCTACGAGTCTTTCATGTCGACAGTCCTGCCTTTCCTCATTGCATAGAGGGATGCAAAAGGTTAAGTTTTCTTTGTCAAGACAAACACTGCAGCTTCCTAGTTCCAATATACTGGTATATGGTTTCATTGGTTTGTGTGTTTATGCGAAATTTGGTTAGTTGTGTGTATGTGTGTGTACTGTGCGTGCAATGAACTCTGTTGTTTGTTTGCTTGGTAAGTTGGTGTGATCTTGACATATTTCCAAATAGCCACTCCCCTCTGAAAATCTATGTTGCACGGATTGTTTAATTAAATGTTGTTTCTCGTCTCTAAAACGCCCCTGCTTGGATACTTGGGGATGTTACCACACTCGGATCCTTTGAGAAACTTGTCAAAGTTGGTGTTTTCTCATTCTCGACTCTGTCCTCACATGAATACCAATCGTCGTCCCCCGTCTAACTTAGCTGAAAATTTCAATTTTCTTTGGCTAAAATCTTGTTTGGCTCATATTCTGAACACATTCTATTGTTCCGGCAAACACAACAAACTCACTATCGGTCACAATATAAAGAATAATGTGGTTAGTCATGCTCACCTCTGTTGTATGAATTGTACCACTTGTATCCGCTATAAAATACTCTAAATTTTATACGAAGTATATTTCTTCTGTTGTAGTGGCTTTTATGAAGTGTGGTTTGATTGTGAATGTCATTCCTTGTTGCTTGCACCGGGCTAACAACCGATTTCGGTAACAAACAAGTGTTTTGAATTGTGTATGGTAGTCGGTCAACATATTTTGACTTGCACTTAAACACCTGCTCCACTGCAACGGTAGAAACTGGCATGGATAATATTTCTTCTCCAATGCAGGCATGATGAGAAACATATATTTTTTGTTCTTCCACCATTGGAGTACTTTGAAGTCTATCTTATCTTCATGATCACACTCACATGAAATGATTTAGAAACAGAGAATGCTCGTTAACCGAGCTTTATCAATGGTACGAGGAGTGTTATTGTAAACAGTGTGAAATTCGTAGTAAATAGCATGGAGTATTAAATACTCCATAAGAGTGTACATGAGAAATATAACCACCAACATCAATAACCATGTGATCATACTTATTCAAATCATCTAAAGAACTAAAGTAATATTGCATAAATTTTTTAATATATTAAATTTTAGAATGATGATTACACATAAATGCAATGACATAGATAGAAGGAATGTAGAGATAGTACCCATGCCATTTTTGTTTCATGGAACAAACTATGTCACACAAGACTATTATTTTCAACTTCTTTCAAACAATTAGCAATATTAATACATACACTCATACAAATGAACTTTGAATAGTAGGTTTATATAAATGAAAAAACATTAAAGTAGCATCATCAAACAATTGTATCTTGCATAAGTATAAAATTCTCTTTTTCAGGCCAAGTTCTCACATACTCCGTATTTATTTTTTTGTCTTTTTCAAAAGATTTCATGCTAATGGAGTTGGGATAACATATTTATTTAGCTTCTCCTTTTCTTATTTCTACTGTGTGGGATAAAGTTTGCATCCTAACAAATACATGACATACAAAACGCTAATAAAAAATTGTACCCATATTTGTACTAGTCCTACAAAGTTCTTTGAGACTAGGAATGTCAACAATATTATTTTTTAGCATTATCAAAGTAGAAAATACACACTTTATCACTAAAAACACATGTATACAAAACCCAAGACTCATTAAAATCCAAGTAAAAAACACATACAAAAACACATGTATACAAAACACAAGTATGCAAAACACATGCAAAAACACATGTATACAAAACACATGCAAAAACACATGTATACACGTTATCACTCATTAAAATCTCTAAATGCATACAAAACCCAAGATTCATCAATTTAATGACATGTAAGTATGTAAGACCTATATAAAATAATCCTTATGTGATGAGTTTCACTCCAAATATCAGAACAATGAGTAGTTTGTCATTTCATTTTTTTCTGAGAAATATTGTATTATGATTTGTCGTTATATTGTTTTTCTTGAAAATTTGTTGCCTTGAGGGTTTTGCATGATTTGTTAATAATCAATAAAATTGTGTTTCTCGAAAAATATGAAAGATAATTTTTTTTCACGTATCTTTTGAGCCATTTTTTCTTTTCTACGTCGTCATAGATAAGTCCAAAGTAGTTCGAGCATTTACAATGGGGAGTAAATCCATCCCGCCCCAACTCCTGCACATCACCATTCCACTTACTTTCTGTCCGCCCCAAAATCTTACAATGTTATAGCTCTGAAAACCCGTCTCTCTGTTTTTTACATTATTCATCCTTTTTAATTCAAAACTTATATAAATTTAATACTAAATTTTATTTTAAGAAAAAAAGATGAATAACTTTAAAATATAAAAAGGATTGTAAGACTTGTAACAATTAAAAAAATTAAAATAAGATAAAACAATATTAAATAACAAAATACCACATAAATAAAAGGAGGAATTTAATATGCTTAAAATTAAAATTATAAAAACTAGTACGTAAAAAATAAAAGAAGTGCTTGAATAATAAAGACTTCAAAACAAATGCTATTGAGGTGCCCTATTTATCATGACGTGGATCACCTCCATCATGTCGTGGTAGTACTTCAGCTCCAACTCCAACATCCTCCACGTATCCATTGCCATGAGTTTGTTGAGGTTGGTGCAATGAACATTGAAGCTCATGCTAGCAAGATTTTTGTTCATTATGTCCAACACCGGGTTTTCCGGTGGCGGTGCCATACTAGGAGCCATTGTCTTGGCCTTCCCTTTCCCCTTCTTTGTCGCATTTGACTCGATTGGGCGGCTTTGACCACTGGATTCGTCGCCCAATCCATGAGGGAAGTTGTCCCCCATGGCTTTGAGGTCGGTGGAATGGCCGCTCCCACTCGTCGAGGAGGAACCATTCTCAGAGAGTTTGGATCGCTTCGCTCCCGATCCTCCAGCCTCAGCCCTGATGGTGAACTTGGGACTCCTTTACAAAATTTTTCTATATTTCCTAGAACATGGAAACCCTCTTCTCTGATTCATAATAAAGGTCCAATGCCTTCGACATAATGTCTTTGGCGGAGGACCCATTGGGCCATGTCTTGAGGACGTTGGCTTATAAGCAACCGAACTTCTGGACTTCCGGGTGCACACGGCTCCGTTGTTTCCGAAGCATCTACCCATCACGTACGAACGTACCATTGGGTCTCCCGGCGTTGTACTTCACCGCAACATGCTCCCAAATTATTTTTTATTTCTGGTACTACCCGACGATGGCGTCCTTCGACACATCGACGTAGTACTCGCCAATCTCAGACTTTCCGCTGGAGTATACTTCTTCGGCCCGTCCGTCTTTTTGGCCTTCCTTTTGCTAACGACCTCGCTGATGGCCCTAACTCAAAAACGTCGTAGTTGGTCGTATTAACGCCTGGCAATTGGTAGGGGCTATCGTTGGAGTCTGAGAACGGGGTAAACTCGTCACCGAGTAAAGAGGCAAAGTTTATAAATCGAATTACGGCATCGAGTTCGGAATCATCGAAGTTGAAGTTGTTGTCCTTGGAATTCATTTTAAATAATGAGAAAATGGAGAGAAAGTTATTTGAATGAAATGAGATAAGTGAATTGAGAGGGATGAGAATGATGAATTGAAGTTGAAGATGTATTAATTTTATTGAGTTGAGAAATGAAAAAAATAAAGGGGGGGGGGGGGGGGGGGAGGGGNGCGATTTTGCACCAAAAGCGGGGCGATCCTGCAATGGATGTGCGGCGCGACGCTGCGTGGGGAGGCGTGCGGCGCGTAGGTTCCCGCTCGCCCTTAGTTTAGGTTTTTATTTGCAAATCTAATGTGCCACGCGGCGGTCTCCCCTCCCCTCAAAGTGCCAACTGCCAAAGAAAGAATAAAAAATGCTACTCCTTAGCTGCGTGGGCGGCGGTTTAGGATTTGGACGCTAGTTTTGACCATACTCCGAGAAGCTGCAAATGTCACTTGCTTCTTCAACGTAAATGTTTTGCTTGACCTACTTGTAATGTTCCTTTCAATAGCTTCCCCGCCAAATTTTTGTCTTCAATTTTATACTACCGCCTTGTTTGAAAAATAATAGTTGGCTCTTAGCAATTGGCTGTTTGTGTTGGCATATTTAAATGACTGATTGAGCTAGTCGTTTTGACTAGTTGATTGTATTGGTTGTTACGAAAAAATGTTTGGCAAACTTAGCTGCTCTTAAGTAGCTGTAGCAAATGAAATTACCTTTAAAGGACATACTACATACTCCGTATTTTAATGTGTATACACACACATACACACACACATATATATAATTTATTTTTGCATATACTTGATTTTTTTCATTTATTATTTTTAGGTAACTTAAATTTTTATATACATATGACATTTTTTATATCATTTTGGATTGCCATTATATTCTTTACTCGGTATTGAGTATTTTTTCACTCAATTCTTTCCAACTTTTTTTCTCAAACTTTTACCTCCACCGTCTTTTTTCTCCAAAAATGACATCCTTATCTCACTTTGAGGCTTCTTTACTCTATTTCTTCTTTTTTTTCTCATTATTGTTTCCTATATATTGTGAAGATCGATCAATTGCACTGAATCTTTATTCTTTTTTTCTCCCTCGCATCTTTTTTGGCCGATGCTTAGATCTAGGAGAAGACTTCGGGGCTGTTTGTTTCAGCGTCTTAATGGTTCAGATGTCTGAATGGTTCAGCACTTAATGGGGTTTGTTTCAGCCTCTTAATGGTTCAGAAGTCTGAATGGTTAAGAGATTTGCCTCTGAATGGTTAAGTATTATACAGAATCTGAATGGTTAATATCTCTTATCTGAATTGATTAGACATTTGTCTCTGAATAGTTAAACAATATACTGGCTCTTAATGGTTCAGACCTCTTACTGGTTCAGCACTTAATGATTCAGACCTCTTACTGATTCAGCAGTTACCCATTCAGAAGTTGCCAAACAGCCTCTTCATATTTTTTCCATAGTAATTTAGATTTCAGTATTGAGAACCTCGCTTTGAAGAAAGACAAACAACATACATCATCAATAATTGGAAGATGTTGATCTTTTTGAAGGACCGAAGCCTACCTCCGTTCCAAAGAATTTCTCTAGTTTTGATTTTTTTTCTAGTCAATCATTTCCAACTTTTGACCTTTAATTAAATAAAATATATATACGGAGTAGTATATTAATTAGATAAAATAATATTTTGAAAATATTTTATATACTAAATCTAATAACAACATTTTTGTATCAATATATCTAATATCACTTTTGTTTAATTTGAGATCAGAATTTACCAATTTTGATTGAAAAAAATAGACAAATAAGCTGAGACGGAGGGAGTACAAGCCTATTGACAATCTTTTTTACTACCAACATAGCTCCCCTGGAGATTTCAGAACTCCACCTTGAGCAAAAAATCGTTAGCCTTCAAAATTTAGTCCCTAAAGAAATTAAATTTTCTTTTCGCCCCAATACATGTTTTATCCCATTTAATGTTCTTTCCACTCTATAAAACATGTGAAGTCATACTATTCTGACCCCCGCAATCTTGTTGTGGCACCATTACCCATCTTGACAGTATCCTCATCACAAGCTAGCTTGATATATGTCAAACTACTCCTTAACTAAACACATATTCAATGAAGAACCAGAATCTAATATCCAATCTAATTTACCCGCTGCACTCCTTGCAATTGCCAAAAAAGAGCTCTTCCTAACCTCATTGCTCTCACATGTATTTTATCATCTTTCTTTTCTTTCATCTTCTTGGAACAAGACCTTTTCATATGACCCTCTTCATTGTTGGGATTTTAGACCTATATGTTTTCTTCAACTTATTCTTATTACTTACTCCCTTCATCCCAATTTTACTCACCTGTTTCTATTTACGATGTTTGACTGAAACTATTTTCAAATCATTTAAAATATAAATAAAGTAAAATTAAAAATAAATATTATATATTTAAAAACTAGATCAAAAGACCTACAAAACGAGTGGTGACATGATTATATTATTTTATTGAAATCAGATTAGACCAGAGTCACCAGACCATCTATGAAACAACTTAAAGTATAACTACATTCTGATCAAAAGAAACTAGGATCGGATCATAACCAAAACTTATTCTAATCAAAGCAGAACTATTCAGATCAGATGAAGATAACATGACATAAAAAAATACTTCTTCCAATCCTACAAACCTTTCTTATTTTAACAATTTTGGTCAAAGAATGATACTATTTGAATATAACGTAAACATAATTTAAATAAAATAAAAATATAATATATCAAAATTATATTCTAAGATGAGTTCAATTATAATAAATTTATATTTTAAAAAATAAAAAAGTTTTTAGGGTCGGGAGTATAAAAACTTTGAAAATAAATAGACACATAATCCTGGACCGGTAAAGGAATCAATACTCATCAGTCATCACTCCCACCCCAGAAGGCTCCGAAATTTGTCAAGGTAACCGCTCTGATCATCATTATCTGAGCCGTTTCTTGCCCTAAATCACACGGAGTATGATTTTCTGATGATTTTATTTTATTTATTGCTCATATGAGGAAGATGGCTTCTTCTTCAGCCCATTATTCTTCAGCTCATTTGAGGAAGATGGTTGATTTGGTGCATGAATCAAAGGTCCGAAGCCCTCTCTGACCTGAAGAGGGCTTATAGCAGTAGGCAGAACAAAAGTTATAACTAAGAAAATTCGTTATGGTTGTGTTCGGTAATTTGGATTTCATTTCAATTCTAAAATTTGAATTCCTGGATTTCAACTTACAAGGGGGGTTGGATTTGTAATTGAGCTTAGTGGAAATTAGAGGAACTTGGCCCAAATCCAAATCCAGTATTTTAGCTTTTTAGATTCTCAAACATGTAATTTGAAATCCAAATCTAAGTTCCCAAAACGGGTCATAGTGAGTTGGCTTCGTAGGAACTATCATAATTCAGTTCATGGTTGATTTCATCATAGTCTTGATTGTTGAGAGGTTCAATGAGATTGATTATAAATTTCTTTATGTAATTATGTAGAGAATGAAAAGGTATTGTTTTTCTTAGGATTTTGTTCTGTGGTTGGCCTCTGCAAAAGAATTTCGGGACTGGTGATTGGAAATTCTTCTTCTTCTTTTGGAATTGCTCTCCCTCCTGATTGAAATGGTTCCTGGCAATATAGATGGTTAAGATTTACAGCAGAGTCAGAGTTGTAAGAAAGTGCAAGTAGGTTTAAGGCAACCACCTTGACAACTCAGGACAAAGTGACGTTTATGGTGGGATTGAATCTTCCCCAGATGTTTTGTGCACTGAGCTGCTCTTTAATGAGGCCATGCAGGAACATGCTTCCTTGTAACATTAGGAATTTAGAAATATATAGTAGATAGATAGATATATAATTTTTTTTATATATATGTAGATACTCCCGGCTATGTTGTATGGCGTAGAATGATGGGCAGTGAAGGATACTTACTTTCAGAAGTTACATGTGGTAGAGGTGAAGATGTTGAGGGGGCGTACGAGGATGGATGAGATCTAGAACGAGGACATTCTGGGAGGGTTGGAGTGCCCTCTGTGGAGTATAAACTGCAGCAAGCTAGATTGAGATGATATGGACAGAAACTGAGGAGATGCCCCAATGAAGAGGTGTGAGAGGCTTGTGGTAGGGAGCGTTAGGAAGGATAGAGATAGACCCAAGAAGAGTTGGAAGGAGGTGGTTAGACATGATTTATGACTTCAGGATCTCACTGATGATATGGCCTTAGATAGGGTGGTCTAGGATTAGAGTGGTAGGGTAGATATCTTGTTTTAAATAAATAGTTACTCTGTATTATTCAAAGCAGCAAATAGCGATCACAAAATACAGATTATTGTAGATGATCATAAAAATTTTCACATCCTCTGAACCTTAGATTTTACTATAATTTTCCAAAAGAAGAACTTTTTGTCTTTGCAAGCTATGGTGATAGATATGCCCCACATCCTATATTCTAATGGACCATGCCTTCTAAATAAACATGCCAATAAGTTTAGCATTATGAGATGTCCCGAGTAGTAGTCAATTTCTTATTTCTAGCTATGCCTTGAATTTGAATGACAAAACAAGGCCATTTAATTGAATTTTTGAATTGTTATCACCAAGACCAATATATTTTAATGCAGTACCAGATAGCATCGGGACTCTGTGCTTCTAGATATGGTAATTGGAGGCTACATTTCTCCTTTTGGTGTTTGGGAGAACTCATGTTTGAGGAAAAGAAGTTAGTGAAATGATTCAATTCCGATAAAACCAATTTAGTTTAGATGCCTTCACATAGTCTGGTATTCTTTTATACTTTCAATATACTCCGGAGTATGTTAATATTTGGATTTTATTCATAATGCTCTGTGGCCCTAGTTTCCTTAATCATTTCACACATATAAATCTCACCATTTCTGTCGATGAGACTGCTCTGTTTTGAGATTCATATACTTTGTTCTTACATGGTTACTACATCTTCCTGTTATTGTGTTGTTCTTCCTTCAATTTTCAATTACTTCTTCTTTCCTTAGGAAGGTGGGGGGTGGGTGGATATAGGTGTATGATGCCCCTATGATGATCTCATGAATCATGATCCTTCCTCTCCCTCCGAAGTAGTGCACTTGCATAGTTGTCTTTGTCTATCATCTTACTGATATCTTACTTTTCTTTCTCAGGGTCTCTTGAGATTCTGATTTCTGATTCTGTCCCTTGGCAAAGATATCCATTGTAGGTTCACTGTTACAGTTTTGAGCAAGACCATGACTGACTATGGATCACCTGGAAGCTTTCAAGGTACATGAGTACAAGTAGCCCTCATCAGTATTAACATGGCTCTGAATTTTCACATTTCAACAATAGTTGAGTAGTTGCATCTTTGAAAACAGTTTCATAAGGATAAGAGAAGTGAAATCAACAAAATTTTCGGGCTGGTACACATTGCTGAAACAGTTATACAGGAACATAAAAGTTTATCCATTTAGGATCCGATTTACTTTCTCTACTTTTGAAATTTTTTCCCTATTTTGTAAAGCGTAACTGCTGGTCTCTATCCTTCAACTAATTTTTTTAAAGCTTCAGATAAGGTGGAGGACATCGCCAAAAAGGGGACAGCTGAATCTGTAAATGAGATACATTCAATGAATAACCAAAAGACACACCAAGAACCAGAAGATGACAATAAAAACATCAAGGAAACTGCCCATAAAGGTGATAAGCTTATCATTGAGAGTTTAGTGCAGAGGGGTGCTGCTGGTGAGGTAAATATGGAAGCAGAAATTACTCCTGATGATGTGATGAGGGCCGGAGGGTTTGGAGCTAGAGATGATATTGGTAGTTTTCTCCCTACAGCAGTTGACACCACTGACTTTGAAGCTTCTATTCGTGATGCTCGAGGCTATGAAGAGCCACAAGAAGCCATCTGCAGACCTGGCCTTGGCTGGAGAGAAACAACTAACAACAAGTGAACACAGTTCTGCCCCATCAACAAATGGAGAGTTACTAGATCAACTTCATTCCCCACCCATCCTTTTGGACCGCCTTTTCATTTCCTTATATATATATATATATAGATTTTGGTTCTGGTGAGAATGCAATCTTATGAAAGAAATAAGAATGAATTTAGTGCTTTAGATTGTGAGATCTAAGGGTCAGGATTGCATCAAAATTAGGTGCACCAAAATGGTTTGAAAATGCGTCATGTCGAAATGCACCAAAATCCATTGAAAATGCACTATCTCAAAATCTAAGCGAAGGATGCAATCTGAGCCGCACGATGCATCAAATCCAAAGTCTAGATTTTATTCTTATTTCTTTCACCAAGGAGCATTCTCACGTGAACCGGCTGTGTATATATATGTGTGTGTGTGTGTGCAGTGTGTGTGTGTGTGTGTGTATATATATATATATAGTTCTTGGCCTGACAAGTTTGCTTTTGAACAACATCCTGTATTGTATTTGAGTAATTCTAGTCTCCTTGCTTGTGAAGCAACCATAAAGTGTTATGAAGTTGGTGTTATAAATGTTTGTTTTGTGAAGCAGCCATAAAGTATTATGGAGTTCTGGTTATAAATCTTTGTTATATTATTTTTCTGCTATGTATTTTTGCTATTGCTTGCAGGACTTTCATTCCATTGTACTTGGTGTTTTATCTGTGTTATACTGTGATTCTTATCATATTTTTTGTGCAGTTGGAGCCGGGGTCTCTTGGAAACAGCCTCCCTACTTCCGAGTAGGGGCAAGGTCTGCATACACACACCCTCCCCAGACCCTACTGTACTGGAATTCAACTGGGTTGTTGTTATTGTTGTATTTTCAAATATTGTTTGGGTACCACTACTGAAAAAGCTCTTCTCCATTAATTGGTCTTCACATCCAATCACTTCACCAATATTGGATATTGCACCTTATTTTTTCTTCTTTGAATATGCACCTCAGAGTAGTGTGCTTAGTCAAATATTAAGGTAAATCTTAGGGCGCAGAATCCAATAGTCAAATGTTGCAAAGACCAATTTTCCCAATCCCAAAACCCACTTTTGCTTCTATAACAGCCCCACATAAAATCTATGATAATTTTAGTTTGGTACCATTGTGTAATTGCATTACAACAAGAATGTACAATAATAAATTCATTCATTTATCTACATTCTTTGGCATTATCACTATTCATATATATATATATATATATATATATATATATATATATATATATATATATGCTACTAGATCTGGGCACTAATGTACAATGGTATATTCATGCTTTTATCTATCTACACTTTTCACAATAGATTAAGTATATCTATTCTTATATGCTAACATATATGTGCATTAAGTTATTTATGACTAGAGTCACTCATGATTGTTGTTGAAGTGTCACTCTTCTGAAAATTCTGTGACCAGGAGCCAGAATAGCCAAGGGGTCGTAAAGGGATTTTCTTCTGACAAATGCCTCCCACTGACTGCCAAAATGAGCTTTCCACTCCTCAGTAGTGCTGTAATGGGGCAAGTATTGTTTCATCCCTATCTTGTCCCTTCTGCAGAAATCTAAAATTCTTCTGTTCTGTGAAATTATGTGTTGCAGTCCATCTTTCCCGGTAGATAATGGGATTGCAGAGCTCAAGAATGCTACAAGGTAGAAAACATTCTCCTCTGGAGTAACCAGTGATGTCCCCTTTCTCCACCTGAAGTATGAGAGTTATGATCACATACCAAGAACGTGACTACCAAACGGGATCCTAAGGCCAACGCTGTACAAATTGAGAATTCATACTTAGACTTATCGATTGGGTAAATGAGGATGGGGCCATTGCTGGTGTCCGTGACAATGTTTCCAAAAACCTCTTTAGCGAAGGCATGGATTTTGGTCTTCGGAATCATAAGATTTAGCCATGGATGAGGGACTTCCCACAGTCCTTTTTCTCGGAGTTTCATCTCTGAGGTGTGCACTCTATCCAGAAAGTCCTTATAAGGAACTTCTGTAAGGAAGAGTGTTGAAGGGATGTAGTTCAGCTTTGACAGAAGGGTGTCAATTTTCTGCAGAGTTAAATCATTAGACATGTCATTTCAAAGATATGTTGTGGCAAGAGAGATGTTTTGTGAAGGAGCATTTGTCTTCTTAATAGTCTATTTAGAGCTTAAAATAAGCTATAGGCTTCTGAATAAGCTCTGCCAAACATGCACAGATTTTTTCAAACAGGGGCTTATTATATTCACAAAACAGAAGTGAACTTATTGGGAGCTCAAAATAAGCTATAAGCTCCCCAGTAACAACTTAACTTATTGGGAGCTCAGCATAAGCTGTTTACCTTTCTAATAAAACCGCCCTCCTCTTGGTTGAAGTACTTGGCAACCTCTAAGCAGAAGAGTGTTTTTCCTTCAGAACTGAACTTGCTGGCTTGAACTGGATCTTTAGGATTAAAAATTGACCTCCAATTATTAACCAGGCCAGTTCTATTTATGACCACAAACCCTTCAACATAATCAAAAGGATCTTTAGATGATATGAGGGCCTCTTGGTCCTTGCAAAATTTGGCAAAATCTGAATACAAGACCCTGGCCCACTTAACCTGTCAACACATCATCTTGTTAGTTTCCTTTCTTTTCTTTGATATGTTTTCATTTACTGAGCAGTAATGTTATTTTTACAGTTAATGGCGAGCTTTGATGAATCATCTAAGTTACCATCTTGGGTGCGGGTTCAAGGGCAATTCTTGCTCTGGTAATGACACCAAATTGTCCTAATCCTCCGAGTGTGGCATTGAACAGGTCAGTGTTCTGTTCCTCTGAACAAGTCATTTTTTCTCCTCTGCCTAGGTAAAGTATATAATTATTTGTTAATATAGCATGTATTGAGTGTGACATTTGACAAGTAATTTTCTCAGTTTTGTCTTTGAATCCCCCACACCCCCCCACCCCACAAATTTTTTTTGAAGACCCACTGATTGATTGGTTCAAAGTTTTTTTTATTACCCCTCCGTTCCCAAAATAAAATTCCCACTTTCTTTTTTCATCCGTCCCAAAAAAAAACTTTCCACTTATTTTCTTTTTCCATAAGGAAATGAATGAGTGGCTAATAACATTTCTTTCTCCTCAAACTATAACCTTTATTTAGGATGGAGAGAGTAACAAAATCAGAAAAATTAGGTTGTCCAATATATGTAGTGACTTTTAGTGACAAAACTGCCCTGTGCTCCAAACGGTGTTGAGCCCACAACATGCTTCATAATAGACTTTCTGTGTAAGACTAAGACCCGTGTGAAGGGAATATCTTTTAAGTTTTAACCGTGAACCAGTAAGGGTAAAATAAAAACTCTTCGATAAACATTATTTGTATGCTGAGTTTTTGATATGAAAAGCATCTAACAACAATAAGTTAGTTAAAAACTTCTTGTTCTACTTACAACTACCAAAGTTAATGTGTCAGTTTCTCAGCCACATGAGAAATTGAGCACATATGTGTGTGTGTGTGTGTGTATTCCATTCATCCCGCAAAAAACTTTTTTTGCTCGTCTAAAAAAAGTTTACTTTTTCTTTTAACAATACGTGCCTCAGAAAATGTCTCAACCACACTTTTTTATTTTTCCAACACTTTCTAACTCCGTGAAAGTCAAAGACGGAAGATTTTTATGGGAGAGAGGTAGTATATATTACCTGTGACAACCTCAAGTTGATAAACATTGTTGATCTGGGGCCCATGCCGGAACGCTTGGCCGCTAATCCCAGCATTAGAGAGAGTGCCCCCAATGGACAGATGAAGATAATCAGTCCAAGATTTTGGTGAAAGCCCATGTTTAAGACTCTCATGCAGCAGGTTTATCCAAAGCTCCCCAGCTGAGGCATCAACATAGGGGCTGTCCCCCACTGTCTGGAAACACATTCTCGGGGCGCGAAGGGATTCCATGTGGACCACCACACCATTGTTAGCCTGCGACTGCCCTTGCAGCGAGTGTCCACGCCCCCTCGCTGCGACAGTCAGCTCCGTACCAGAAATGTATTGGATCAAGGAAGAGATGTCAGAAGCTGATTTGGGATATAACACTGCTGATGGAAGGAAATGGTGAGTGTTCCCAAAGTCTTTTGCTGCATGCTCAATGTTGTCAAAGCTAAGGTACCCCTCCAGTTTTAGGGCACCCCTTAGTGATGATGGGAGGCTGCTGCCATTTGATTCATGAAGGGCAGGGGAAGGGTAGGTAGAACAAAGGCTACTTTTGTCAATGCCACCACAACTGGTGAGTATGAGTATAATGAATCTGAGGAGAATAGTGTTGATTTGTTTCATTACTCTGATCTCTAAGTGAGCTGAGAGTAGTTGATGAAATGTGTGTGTGTGTTTGTGTGTGGACTGTGTGGTTTATATGCATATAAAGGGAAACAAGTATGGAATGTCAATGTCATGCCAAGACTATTTTTGTTTTTGTTTTTGTTTTTTATTTTATTTTATTTTATTTTTTGTGTGGGGTAAAACTGTTTTTTGTTTTGGTTTTTCTTTGGGGTGGCTTAGGAATATGTGTGTGTAATGATTTATCATCACATACAGATTATTAGATTATGATTAAAAAAGCATAAAGATAATGGGGGTTTGGGGGAGGGTCCTATGAGGGTAAATTATTGAGTTGTCTAATTCTTATTGGGGTAAAAAACTGCATGATTGCTCCCTTATAGTCCTATTTCTTTCTTTTAAAGTGTGTTCAATTATTACAACGTTTAACCTCTTATAATAACTCGTTTATTAATAAAAAAAACCCATTTTATTTAATGTTCACATCTTAATTAATTATGTAGATGAATGAGAAGATATGTTACCGAATATACGTTTTCGAAAGTCTTCATGCGGTGCCAACTTCATATATGTCAACACACACACACACACATATCCATATTCTGTCCAAGTCCAATCTGCATATTTATGGTACGTGGATGAGACCAGTTCTAACATATTGACCAAGTCCAACGCCTAAAATAGAATATTTTTGTTTAGACTTTAGAGTAAATTTTATAATTCTTCCTTTATAACATGAGGTGGCAATCAGATCGGTTTCGATTTGAAATAATTCGGTTCTGACACTTTTCGGATATATGTTGTAATCGGTTCAGTTTGAATCGGTTCGGATTTATTTTGGATCCATACATTTTCCGCTTTGATTTTGAGTCGGTTCGATATTAATCAGTTCAGATTGATTTTGATTTTGAATACATTCCGATTCGGATATATATTTCGGTTTCGGATCTATTTCAGTTAAGATATAATTCAATTTCAGATAAATTTTTATTCGGGTGTATTTCGGTTTCAGATATATTTTGCATGTACTACCTTTGTCTCAATTTATATGTACAGGTTAACTTTTTCGAGAGAAACTGGATAAATTTTGGACTTTAATTACTTTCTATTTTTATTACATATTAGTATAATGAAATAAAATTTTGAAATATCTCAATAAGATAAGTCTAATAAAATTATTTTTATATTTGTATACATTATAGTTTTTATTTAATTGAATATCAAAGTTTCAATTTGACTCGAAAAAGTCAAACTACACAATTACACAAATAAACTGGAACAGAGGGATTATATTATTTTTGAATTAAAATTTAATCATCTGTGTTTCTTTTTTGTCATATTCCATTTATCAATCTATCATAAATCCATCGAATCATGTTATTTTATATTTTTTTCTAATTATTTTCCCTCACCTTAAATTTTCTTTTTCTTTTTTTTTTTCCTTCTTCCTCCAAAAACTTCATCTCTGCGGCTTTTCTCTATCAACAGAGCACTTCGTCTCTGTTTCTCCCTCTCGAGCTGCTCTTTCCGCAACTCCTCCGCTGTTATCTTACCATTGTCTTCCATATACCAAAGGCAATTTGGTTCCTTTCCAATAATCCCATATCCCAGTTTATACTTCTCATCCTCCGCAGTCACGACCCTGGGCGGCTGCTCCTTCTTCACCTTCTCGAGTCAAAATCAGGCATGAAGGAAACAACGAGTTGCAAAATCTTTGCATCTTTTGGGGAGATTTTGGAGTTAGATTTTAATTTATACCCAAAGCTCAAAATCCATATATTATAGAAATCTTTTAAAATCTATATATTTATTAGGATATATTAAAACCTGAATTGAATACCTCCAGATTTTAAATGACTTTTTCAAATCTAGATTGAATATCCATAGACTTTTAAAATCTAAAAAAATACTACAGGATCCAGATTGAATACACCCTCATAAATTGGAATAATGTGTTATTCAAATCAAATGTAATTGAGTCTAATGAGATAAAAATTAAATAAAATTAATGACGTGAAAATTAATTTAAACTAGTTAGTGAAATTCATTCAATTTTATTCCCAATAATTATTTCAGTTGGTTTAGATTGAATGTGATTAGGTAAAAATTGAGTAAAAGATTATGAAATTACATACGTACAATTTAGTAAAAACGTGTTGAAATTGAGTGAAATTGGATGTAATTAGGTAAAATTTACGTGAAATTAAATGTAATTCAGGGCACACGTTTGGCCAACCACACTACTTAGAGCTCTTGTGTGAAAGTATGGGGGTGAGAAATTACCTACTCTTTTTTGTAAAATTTTAACGTAATATTTCTTATGTAAGTTGTATTTTTTATTACTGTATAAATTTGTAAATAAGATAAACTTAAAAGATATGAAATTTTGAATTTTGTTTAGATATGATAATTCATTTTGAGTCGTAATGAGTAAGTAATTATATAACTATATAATTAGTTCAAATAGTAAAATAAAAGTAAAAATTTGAAATCACATGAATTTAATTGTTCACTATTGTACTTCCTCCGTCCCAATTTAAGTTATGTGTTTACTATTCACAAAGTCAAACTTTAACCGCTTTTCTTTTATCCGTTTTCGCTACCACTTGAGAAAATAATACGGTCTTGTCACGTCTTGTTTTGTAGAACTTTTGATGTAGTTTTATGTATATAATTTTTTTAATCCATACCAATTTTTAAATCAATTAAATTAAAAATAACTTCAGTCAAACATCGTAAAAAATAACAGATAATTTTAATTAGGAAGGAGAAAGTAAATAAATGTAATACGCTTATTGTTAGACATAATTAGTTTTAGAAATCTTCCTAAGTAGCACTATAAAACCACCAATATTACATAAATAGCACTCCCTTAGCTTTTTGATTTAAAGGGAGTTCAGGGTGAAGGGATTCCAACAATACCCTTTTAATAATTTTATTCAATTCCTTGATTTTAGAAGTTCAACTATTCTCTTACCATGTATGTAGCAGTTACTTTTATGCATTCTTTACACAACGACGCCGCTCAAACTTTCCGATTATTCACTCACATCGCCATCTACCAAGATCACCACAGGGTAAGTGACAGTATGGCGACTAAGTAGGTAGTGTGGCGGCGATGACAACTGTGTGACTGGGGTGGTGGTGATCCTGACAGTAATGTAGATTTGGCAATGACAATTTGGCGGATAGTAATCGTGAAGTGGCAGAGTTGGAAGTATAGTGGGGGTGGCAGTGTGGTGGTGGTGGTGATGATAGTGTGGCGGTGAGGAGGCCGTGTGGTGCTGGAAGAGACAGTGTGGTAGTGAAGGATTATCGTGCAGCAGGGACATTGATGTTGTTCATAGTAGTTTGAGGAAGCAGTGTGGCAGCACAGGGAGACAGTGTGAAGGTTGTGCAGTGTGGCGGCAAAAGGTTGCAGTGTGGTGGCGGTAGTGGCGGGGGAGGCAGTGTGGCGGGGAAGGGAGGTAGTGATGGCAGCAGTGGGAGTAGTGTGACAGAAAGAGAAGGGAATGTGCTAACCCAAATTAATATAATCTTAAAAATTAAGAAAAAAAGGTAGAATGTACATATTAAAGATAGTGTCACGTTGGATACTCCTATTGATGTAAAAAATGTCAAAGCAGTGCTAGATAGGTAATTTTAGCTACATTATAGTGCTACATAGGGAAACCTCTCAATTAGTTTCGGATATAATCCTTTTCGAGTCTTATCAATTTTGGGTCTCATTGGTTTCAAATCTTTTCGGTTTCAGATATTATTGGTTTTAGATTTTAATCCGTCAGATCTAATCAGTTTCAGATATAATTCAAGTATGAATATACTTATTTCGGTTTTGGTACACTTTGAATCATTTCAGTTGTTCGGTTATAAATCGGATCATCACTTTTTGGATCATTTCAATTTTGGTTCATTCAATTTGGGTAGTTAGTTCTTTTTCTGTTTTGCTAGGTCTATTTATAATATGAGATTTTCCATATTTAGTCTTTTATGACCAAATATTACGTTTGTTGACCTTGTTTTATGAGTACGTTTTCACGAATAGTTTTTTAACCTTCTATTATGTTGATGTTAATTTGAAGACTAAAAGTGTAATTTCATATTGACTAATGTCCAATGACGAATTCTGACATTAGCTTGAAGGACAACACAATAATAGTGATTATTGTTGTAGACTAGGATTCTGACAAAAAACAACGTTTGTAGGCTATGATTGAAGTAGACAACGACTCAAATTGACAAACGATGCATTAGCAACGACCTCAGGCATTGACTATGACAAGAAATATATATGATTATTGTGAAATTACACTTTTAGCTCTCAATTTAATATCAACATGAGAGGATGTAAAAAAGCTATCCGTGGAACGAAATGTTCCAATTTTTTTAAACGGTAGAAATTCAACATCAGCTCAATAACAAAGCAGAACTCATTAGTCTTTTAAGACCAAAATAAGAGTTCACACTGCCAATGTTACATTGTCACACTCACCACATTGTCACATTGTAATTGTCACACTATCAACGTCACACTGCCTTCCATCGCTGCCGGCCACCAAAGTGCCGCTGTAGATCACCGACGGTTTACTGATCACACAGACGTATTACACTATCATTATTTTTCCATCACACTGTCAATGCGTATTCTTACATCACACTGCCATTATCCTCATATTTTGGTCTTAAAAGACATAGGAGCCCTATTTTTGTATTTTCAAACTTTTTTACTCCTATCCAGAGATATTTTTTCAATAGCAATATAGTGGGTGATTCTCTGTGCTTATAAACTAGTCAAAAATACTTATAAACATTTTTCTAACTTATAAGTCAGTCGATGACATGTTTTTGTATGCTTATAAGCTAACTTATAACCTCCTTATAAACCAGAAAAAATAAGTAGGTCTTAGTTACTTATTTTTAAATTAGTTTTTTTTGTTTTTCCATTTTGATCAAATTATTTACAAAATTGTCCCTCACTATTTATGATCATTTCCAAATAATTTATTTTTTATTTAATTCATTTTACTTCCATGACAAAATATCTGACTTATAAGAAACGTATAAGTTAAAA